GACGACATCCTCATCTATAGCCATAGTGAGGACGAGCATGTGTCGCACCTAGAGCAGGTTTTGACTACCCTTAGGAAAGAAAGCCTATACGCGAACTTAAAGAAATGTTCGTTTTACAAGGATGAAATAGTCTTCCTAGGCTTTGTAGTCAGCTCTAAAGGTTTGAGAGTCGACGAGGAAAAGATTAAAGCCATTCAAGAATGGCCGACTCCCACTACCATCGGACAAGTCCGGAGCTTTCATGGGTTGGCTAGTTTCTACCGACGCTTCGTGCGAGACTTTAGCAGTCTAGCCGCTCCCCTCACTGCTGTGATTAAGAAGGACGTTCCTTTTAAGTGGGAAAACGAGCAGGAGAAAGCTTTCCAAGCCCTTAAGGATAGCGTTACTAGCGCACCGGTCTTAGTTCTCCCGAACTTTGATAAGACCTTTGAAATCGAGTGCGATGCATCCGGAATCGGCATAGGAGCTGTCCTAATGCAAGAGAAAAAGCCCGTAGCATACTTTAGTGAAAAACTCAGCGGGGCTACTCTTAATTACCCAACATACGACAAGGAACTATACGCTTTGGTTAGAGCGTTGGAAACGTGGCAGCATTACTTGCTTGCCAAGGAGTTTGTCGTACATTCGGATCATGAGACCCTAAAACATCTTAAGGGTCAGAATACTCTCAAGAAAAGGTATGCTAAGTGGCTAGAATTCATCGAGATATTCCCGTACATCATTAAGTACAAAAAGGGAAAAGATAATGTAGTGGCCGATGCATTGTCTCGACGCTACGCCTTGATATCGGTTATGGAAGCAAGAATGCTCGGATTTGAGTACACGAAGGAACACTACATAACTGATCCAGATTTTTCAACCATCGTAGAGGAATGTAAACATTGTGCCCATGGACCTTTCTATTTGCACGACGGATATCTTTTCCGTGACAAGCGCCTATGTATTCCTCAAGGATCGATGAGAGATGTGATACTCCGAGAGGCTCATGGAGGAGCTCTTGCTGGACACTTTGGAGTAGATAAGACCTTGGCCATAGTTCAAGAGCATTTCTATTGGCCCCATCTCAAGAAAGATATTCGGAGGTTTTGTGCTAGATGCGTTGAGTGCCATCGAGCCAAATCAAAAGTACACCCTCACGGACTTTACATGCCATTACCAATCCCTACTCATCCTTGGGTAGATATTTCGATGGATTTTGTCCTAGGCCTTCCTAAGATACAACACAAGGACTCCATCTTTGTCATTGTTGATCGGTTTTCAAAAATGGCGCATTTTGTGCCTTGTGCCAAAACGGATGATGCCAAACATATTGCTGATTTATTCTTTAAGGAGATAGTCCGTCTTCATGGCATTCCAAAGACAATAGTGTCGAACCGAGATTCCAAATTTCTCAGTCATTTTTGGCGAACACTATGGAAAAGGATGGGCACAAACTCGTTTACTCTACAACATGTCATCCTCAAACGGATGGACAAACCGAGGTAGTGAACCGCACGCTATCTACTCTTTTGAGAGCTACCATCGGTAAGAACTTAGGTAATTGGGTCGAGTGTCTACCTCACATTGAGTTTGCCTACAACCGGGCTGTCCATTCCGCAACAAGACACTCGCCGTTTGAAATCGTTTATGGTTTCAACCCGATTACGCCTTTGGACCTTCTAGCACTACCGGACCATGAGCTAACCAATCTTGATGGTGACAAGAAAGCGGAGTTCGTCAAGAAACTTCACCAAAAGGTCCGCGACAACATCGCTCGTCGAACCAAGCAATACGCCCGTCAAGCCAACAAAGGCCGAAAGACGATGACATTCAAGGAAGGCGATTGGGTTTGGTTGCATTTTAGATCCGAACGTTTCCCGGATAAACGCAAATCCAAACTAGCACCTAGAGGCGACGGCCCTTTTCGATTGATTAAACGAATCAACGATAACGCCTACCAATTGGAGCTACCCGATGATTACAATGTCTCTAACTCTTTTAATGTGACTGATCTTTTTCCTTTTGATGCAGGTGATGACATTTCGGGGACGAAATCTTCTCAAGAGGGAGGGAATGATGAGGACATCCAGATCATAGACGACATAACGGATGGGAGCTTGGACGAGGGAGCATACTCGGAGCTAGGAGCAGCACCGGAGCTAGGAGATCCGCCTAACAAAGCAACGAGCAAGGAACCGAACATGGCAACATCAAAACCGTACACGATTCCAATTCCGATACGCATGGATCCTCCCCTTACACGATCCAAGACACGAACACTCCGACAACAATTCAATGCCTTCGTGTCTCATGTTGTGAACGGGCAAACGACGGAGATGCGTGCCTCTTTACGTTCGGAAAGAACAAGACCCGACTTATCCTCACTTGCCAAGAATAGATTGCTTCAAACTCAAGACAACACTCAAAGGAAGCTTCTTGGAGGGCAAGCTAACTTCTCCAACAGCTAGTATACTCCCACCTGCCTCATTAATGGCGAAAATTCTGCAGCTTTGCATGAAGACTTGCATTTAAGATTCTAGTTGTTGTAATTCTTCTTTAAAAACCCATGTAGACTCATTTGAAAACACCTTTTGATCATTTTGCAATCTAAGTATTATTTTCCAGAATCCTCTCCACTTAGTGTCGATCATTCTAGCTTGGTTTGTCCGTGTTCCGTTCTTGGTTCGTCCGAGATTCAACCTTGGTTCGTCCGAGGGTCGATTTGGTTTGTCCGAATACAACTTCTATCCTTCGTTCATCTCTCCGTTTCGGGATTAAGTCGAGCATCAAATCTGATCAGAGATTGATCCCGGAATCCATCCATCCATTACCCACTCATCTCCCGAACTAGATCGAATTCGAGTGCCACTTTGGCCAGTGATCGAACCTAGTCCATACTCTCTCCAGAAACAGCCCTTCCGCAAGTCCGTGGCGTACATCACGTCCGGGTTGGTCATAGCGCTAAGAACTCGTCGGGTAACCAAGAGTTCTCCGCTATCCGGATACTCAATCTCTTCCTCGAGATCACCCGCCTCCTCCTCGTCTAAAGACTCGTACTCTCCCTTATCGATGATAATCATTACTCGGGAGTTTGGACAATCACGAGCCATGTGTCCTCTACCTCGACACTTATAACACATAATCTCTCTAGTTCTAGTGTCACGAGGAGCATCATGGGTGGGCTTAGTTTGCGATGTTTCAAGGGATTTTCCTTTTTCCCAATAATCACGGTTGCCACGGTTCTCGGAGAGTTCCTTTCGGGGCATGACCGACGGTTTGGGTATTGGCGAGGAAAGACTAGGAGGAGTTTTGAGCTTACTCAGCCGGGTTTGTTTCCTTTGGTTTTGCTTTTCAATTTGCACGACTAGGTGCAGAAGCTCATGGAGATTGCGGTACGGATGGCGCTCGACCTTTCGGGCAATACGCTCGTTAAGTCCGTCGAGAAATTGAGCCATCACCGCCTCCTCGTCCTCATCTAATTCTAGCCGACTCCTAAGGTGCTCGAATTCTTCAAAGAATTCTTCCACCGTCCTAGCATCTTGTGAAACTCTCCGATACTTACGTTGGAGCTCTCGGTGGAAATGAGGAGGTACGTACTGTTTACACATCAATACCTTCATTTCTCTCCATGTTCCGACCGGCTCTATGTGAGCACGTCGTCTCTCGTTTGCCTCACGATCCCACCATGCTAAGGCGCTCTCGGCTAGTTGAGCAGCCGCATATTGGACTTTCTTACGGTCCGAATATGAGTAACATTCGAAAATGTTATCCATGCGACGCTCCCAATCTAAGTAGGCCTCAAGATCTACCCTTCCCATGAACAAAGGTGGCTTAAGCTTAAGATCAGCCCCTTGTGATGAGGACATCGACCAAGACATGGACAATGACGAACAAAATCCGAACGAGAAGAAAGACTATGACATAGACGCTATAAGAGGAGAAGAAGTGGACACCGAGCTTACCATGCCAACCATTCCCATGACTCCACTCACAAGACAAAGGACTCGAAGCCTACGTTCAAAGATCAATGCATATGTTGAAGAATGGCTGATCAAAACATCCGACAAGGGGCTATACAATGCAAAGGACACGATAGCGGCAACAAGCACAAAACATCACAATGTTTTGGAGTTTGTGATGTCCAACACTTAAGATTTCGTGGACTAACACCTGGGCTACTAAGGAGATATTTTAAGATTGTATTTTCAATAAATGGGCTGAAGATCCAAGCCCAAAGAGCCCAAACATATTCTACACAAGTCCAAGAAGATATCAACCCATTGGGGAGGATATGGTGCCACCTTTGAAGCAAATTTCGGCCAAACTTTATCAAGCACGAATTGGGGAAGCTTTCTACATTATTTTAACCTACTGAAGACCTTCTCTAAGCCTCCTAGCCGTTGCAAGACGTTGGGCTTCCACTTCCAACAACTTTCCACTTTTTTCTTACTTTATGGTGTCTTGTTTTCCATTACCTTTCTTTAATGTTTTGTTAGCTCCTCCTTATGCACGAATTTCCCTTGCTTTCTTCTGTGTTTCAAGCCTATTTAAAGGTCCTTGTATGTCAAGAATGAGGAGACTTTGAATTGATAAAAATCGAGTTGCATATTTGCTTCTTCTTCTTGGTGTGTCCGAGAGTATTGCCTTCTGCGCATGTGTGTGTGTCACCCTTGTGCAAGGTCAAACCGTGGTGGATTCAAGGTTGGTTTAGCTCCTTTGAATCCTCTTTCATACCCCTATCTTCCATCAAAAATTGGGAATCATCCGAGTGCCCTTTTGTCTAGAACTTCCCTTCCATCTATCACCTAAACCGAGTGCTCTCGAGTGCTCTGTTTTAGTCCGACTTGTGTGTTGATTTCTAAGGACTCCGAGTGCCCTTTGGCCTGGATATCCTCTTGAAATCTAACCATAGGAATACCTTAGTGAGTCTCCAAGTGTCCCCTGGTTTCGAGCTTGTTGTATTCGTTGTCCAAAAGGCAACATAAGACACGCACGTACAAACCGCATTTCACCGAAGGAAACTAGCGAGACTTCCTTGGCTCCGTGCGTGTATCACCTTGTCTCCCATGTTGTCGGTGTTCATGCTCTCCTTCTTCCTCGACAACGTCGGCCCACCTAGGTGGTCTTGCTCTAGGATGAGGGTGTTCCCTAAGTCCTGGTGTTTCACTAGCATCAGACCCATCCTCACGTATCCTATCTCTTGGTCTAAGGGGTCTAAGCGGTGGATCGTCGTATTCTGACTCCTCGTCGGAAACTCGAGCCCGGGGCCTATGGCCTCTACGTCTAGGAGGGTATCTCCGTTCAACGATTTCTTCTACTACCCTCTCTCTCGGTGTAGGGGCTCTACGTCTATGGTAATCCTCATGATCGGTTATCTCCTCGACAACCCTCTCTCTTGGTCTATGTCGTGGTCCTACATCACTCTCGTCGTCACTAAGGGATTCGGGATTAGGGTCTCGGTTTCGTCTAGGACGAGCTAGCGGTTCTCTAGGGCGAAGTTCGGGAGGTGCAGGAGGTCTATTATCTTCTAGTCGTGCCAACCTATCTATGATCTGTTGGAGGGACCTAAATATAGCGCCCTCACTCGACTCAACATTAGCTCCCTCATTGGAGGCTTCGTGTGTACTCATTTCGCACAAAATCGCTCAAACACGCAAACAACACTTCAACGTGCAACAATCACTTATCCTACGAGTTCTACAAACGTACAAAGTAGAATACGTGCTGTTCTATCCTCAAGTTAAGAGCAATTTTCCACACAATTATCAAACAATCACGCAACAATGTCGGGTATATAGCTAACGTGCAGCAAACGAATGCTCAATAACTATCAAGGCAATACGTTCTAAGATAGAGCTATGATCAAGGCAAGCAGCTGAGCAATGATACCAAAACAAACCTCATACACATCAAGGATCGAAGCTAAGAGGCGAACAAACACGAACGTGGTAGAAAATTCGAGTAATCGATAACGTATCTTCAAGGAACAGTTTCGACACTTGAATAAAGGTTATTCCAAACATTTCTAATCAGATTTCGATCAAGGAACGTAAGAAAACAACAATGATCTCACACCAAACAGAACTGAAAGGAATGAAAAACGATAGACAAGGAAGGATCTCACCGAGAGCTTCCGATGTCGTGATTCGTGGAGGTTGCTGCTGGTGTTCGTGTGTTTACGGGAAGAATGGGCCTGTCAAAATACGCTGCAATCAGCCCTTAACGAATACAAATGGATGCAAATCGACTTCCCTCAAATTTGTTTCCGACAATTGATAGAAAATGAAATGGAACCGAAACAATCAATGAAATCGAAGAAGGGAACGATCTCACCCGAGGTTTCAAGCGTCCGTTGGAGCAAACAGCTCTGATACCAAAATGATATACGCCCCTTGGAGCCTCGGTTAGGTGCTTGGACGGAAGGATGTTGAGGGCCGATTGATCACTGGCCTTGATAGGCGCTCAAACTCAATTGATACTCGGATATGAAGGGTGATGCGCACGCACCGAGTCTTATATTTAGTACCCGATTCGTACCACTATCCGCAAGTATATGGTAGTTGTAGTAACGAGGTCGAACACGAGGACTAGGTTGTGTTAATCTATCCCTAAGCTAGATTGATGGTTAAATAAAAATATGATTTGTGATGAGTGTCGGAATACAAGAAAGCAAGAAAAATTAACGGGTTGTAAAACGATGGAATTGAGGCGTTGTGGGTTCGGGATCCCTCAAGAATTGCACGGACGGTTGATGATGCTACAATACCTACGGGTTTATCTTCCAAAAAGGGGGGTTTCAAGCACTTCATCTAGGGTTTGTCTCTCCCCAGCTTAAACCCACTACCTAGAGAATCGATTTACCCATTTCCCAATGATCCAAATGATCTCTAGATGCATTAATGTACCCCATCATGAACCCTAAGCAAGCTAAGCCATCTCCCAATGTGAATAACTCACTCATTCGATGTTTGGTTCCAAACCTCATCCCCATATCCCTATGATCAATGTGTTCTAACATCACACCAACTAAGATTTCGCCAAAGTTGATAGCATTAAGTACAAAACATCAAACCCATGGAAGAAAACTCAAAAGCATCATAGATTAAGCATAGATGTCCATACAAAAGTAGGGATCCTTCCCCCACAACAAATGTTACTACTCCATGCCTAGGATTTCAACACAGAAAGCAAAATGAAGAAGCATAGAAAGGGAAAAGAGAAGCTCAAGATGGTCTTCAATGATGGTCTTCTTCTTCTCCAAGCTTCCTAGGTCTCCAAAATCTCCCTTTTCACTTCTCCAAGGTGTTTTTCTTCAAGTTGGTCGAGCCTCCTCTTCTCTCTCCTCAAAACCGCTTTTTATGAAAGTGCAACAGCTAGGTTTCTCCTCAAAAATCGGGCTTTTCCTTTTTGGGCCGGATTTAATAACGGGCAGTCGCTCACTTTTTCTTCAGGGTCGCCCGTTTTCGTCTTCAGGGTCGCCCGTTTTTCTGGTTCCGGGTGACCGCTCGTTTTTTCAGGCGACCGCTCGTTCTTCATAGCGCACAGTCGACCGCCTGGTTCCTTGAGCGACCGCCTGTTCCCGTGATTTCGGCGTCGAGCGACCGCTCGATTAAATGGGCGGGCCGCCCATTTTCTCTGATCAAATTTCCGGGATAAATTTCGCCAATGGGCGACCGCTCGCTTTTGCGAGCGGACCGCCCATTTTCTCTGAGCCTTCCGAGACTTCTCGATTCCGCTCCTTTTCTGTGTCTTGTGCGTGAATGTCCTCGTTCGATCATCTTGCATGAAAAATGGAGAAAAGAATCCTACCCATGACCGTCTAACGTCCTATTATGCCTAAGGTATGTGCAAAGTATGATGTAAGACGTTAGAAAAACCGGTGAAAATCCCGTGTGATCAAATCCCCCCATACTTGAGGTTTGCTCGTCCTCGAGTAAGTGTGCAGCTATGAAACTATCCAGGGGTGATAAAATATAATCAGAAAACAAATGGGGTTTGAAGTGGATTGGTGGTACGGGTTAGAGTCGCTGTGAATGAAATCGGGTTTGGTGTACTCTATCTTCTACAACATTCAAACGAAAGTTTATCAATGGGATTTCTATTGTTTCCCGCAACC